TACAAAGGATTATAAACTAATTACTAGTGGTATTTAAACACAATGCACTATATATAATAAATTGATTATTCTATGTTGGTATCATGCAAAAAGGCGTCAAGAAGGAAAGTGTCAATGATCACGAAGAAAGGACTTTCCTTTTTTTTGCTTTTCAATTAACAAGGTCTTACAACTAATTTTAATTCTAATTTGATTCTATCAACAAACAGCCTCATGAAAGTGTCTCTTTGTGTTGTGATTATAATCAGGTACATCCGACGCTTACTTCCTACCTGAGATGCACAAATGTAATCTTCCTGTTCGTTCCATTATTTCTAGTTATAGTGCTTATAATCATAACACGGCTAAGTATTTGGCTGACGAATGAATGAAGGAGAGACAACTTCACCTTCCGTTCTGGTCTCTCAACACCAGCAGCAATCTTCGTACCAACGTGCTTATCCTCAGCAGGGCTATTCCTATCATCAGAATTATTCGCCCTCACGTCAGCAACGTCCACAATACTATTCCTCATATAAATGTTCGTCCCCGAATGATTATTATCCACAACAATCAAATTATGCCTCGGCATCGTACAATCGCACACAACACCAGCAACCTTACTCGCCAACTCCATCCACAAATAGCATTAGATGTTTTCGCTGTAGTGGATATGGACATTATTCTAGTGAATGTCCAACCCAAAAAAGCTTCCAGTAGAGGCACAGGATGGTAGTACCTCTTACAATATCGAAAATGCATCACTAATATTCGTCAACATTCTAGTCAATAACAAGAAAATTAAAACAATGATCGTCACAGGTGCTACCAGATCCATCATCACTAAGCAAACCCTTAACCAGCTCCATCATTCAAAAATCCAACCAACAAACGTTCAAGCTAAGCTCGGAGATAACAAAACAAAATTAAATATTTATGGAGAAGTGCTGCTTTGTGTTAAAATCAATGATATGAAAACAGTTATTTCTGCTTTGGTTGTTGAAAAGCTAACGACTAGCTTTATTCTGGGCCGAGATTGGTGCAAAAAGTATAAGGTGGATATTCTAGAAAACCAACAAAAATTAGTTATTCACCATCATCATCCACACGCTTCAGTTCCCTTTCTTGCCAATAGTGAGTCTACTTCTCTCCAGATCAATACCATTGATACGATCCATCTCCTGCCACACCAAGAATGTGTTATTCGGGCATCAGTCCCGGTTTCACAAGCAAACATCGTTCAGTTTCATCCGAATTATGCTTTGCAGCAAAACCACCGAGTTCTGTTGAATCGAGCACTGTTAGGAGTCCAGAATTACACAACATATTTGAAAGTTTATAATCCCAGTCCTTTTCCTCGAACGATCAATAAGAACACAAACCTAGGCTCAATTGTCATTCCAGCAGATTTCGAAGTTCTCAAAACTGATTCATCCCACTTTGAACAACTGAATTTAACCACGACAACTTCTGAGTCTCCGCCGCAACACAATTCGGAAACTAATCAGAAGATCCATGATTTCGTGAAACATCTGACTGATCAACGCCAGCAACAGCTAACCCTGGACATTCTGAACCGGCATTACAAGGTTTTTGATACCACCAAAATAACACAGGCAGACACCCAAGTCTAGCATACGATTAACACTGGTTCCAGTCTTCCAGTCAGTCAACGGCCATATCCCAAAACTGTGCAGCAGCGAAAAATTATTCAGCAAGAACTTCAGCAAATGATTAATAACAATCAAGTAGGTCCTTCTCGGTCACCGTGGTCATCTCCAGTGATTATACAAGAGAAGAAAGATGGTACAATCAGATTCTTAGTGGATTATAGAAAACTAAATGCTGTCACAAAGAAGGACAATTATCCACACCCATCAACTGAAGAATTGTTAAATCGGATCGGTGGCCATCAATACTATACAAAATTAGATTTAAAAAGTGGGTATTTCCAAATTCCGATTTCCAAAGCTGATAGGCCAAAAACAGCTTTCGTCACTCAAGACGGACTATATGAGTTTTATGTATTGTCACAAGGGTTGATGAATGCGCCAGCCACTTTTCAACGAGTAAGAATGATCGCATTGGAAATGGTAGATGGGATTATGTGGTGGTCTATTTGGATGACATTTTGATTTTTTCCAACTCATTCGAAGAACATCAGCAGCATCTGAATGAAATTCTTGGGATATTAGCGGCAGCTAATTTCCAAGTTAATAGTGCCAAATGTACCATTGCGGTCCCAGAAATAGAATTTCTCAGCCACATCATTAGTAAGAATCAATTAAAACCATCGTCAGACAAGATTAAACCAATTATTAATATGATTGAATCAACAACATTAAAGCAAGCAAATGCCTTCATCGGCAAACTCAACTGGTATAGGAAATTCATTCCGAACTTTGCGAGGATTGCTTCTCCCATTAACAAGGTGACCAATAAAACAAAGGCGAAAAGAAATGAATTCAATTGGGGATCCGAACAATCAAAGTCATTCCATCAGTTCAAGCAAATTCTAATCTCAAAGCCACTGTTCCTCGATTATCCCGATCCTACAGCTCCGTTCATCCGCACTACGGATGCTTCAAACCACCAGGTTGGTGGTATTCTTCGGCAAGAAACCAAGAAAGGTGTTCGAATCAATTATTATGTCTCAATCATGATGAGTGAAGCAGAAAGGAAATATCATCCAACTGAACGAGAATTCCTTGGCATTTATTGGTGTCTGAACAAGCTCCGAAACTATATTGGTAGCTCCTCAATCATCGTTGAAACAGACCATAAACCACTAATCAACTTCCATCATGGCTTAAAATTCAAAAATCAAAGAATTGAAAACTGGTTATTAAAATTACAGGATCTGCTTCCTCAAGTAATTGATGTGAAATATATTCTGGGCAAGAACAATTCTGCTGCAGACTATCTTTCCAGACGGCAAACACTAGCGAACAGCAACACCGAAAACCGATCAAATGGTGACTGGATCCAGCAACCAGAATCATGGTCTGAAACTGAACCAAAGCCACACCAATTTATCCCACCAGCACCGAACATCACACATCAACCACCTTCCAAAAATAATTCTTGGAAGAAAATTCAAACACTTCTTTTTTTTCTGTTAGTTAGGAAGTTGTTTAAATCCGCATCACAAAAAAACCAAGCAAAGGAAACGGCGACCGAAGTACTCCTCAACCCAGTTACTACTAGATCCACATCCAAAGCCTTAGGCTCACTGCCACCGCAAGCAGTACCCAATATTCCTACACCGCAACTACAGTCAGCATCTCTTTCCGCTTTGCTCGACCTTAGTGAGGAGAAGATCCGATCTGAACAATTGCAAGACAAATTATTCAAGAAAAGATCGCTCGGTGCAATCTGACAACTAAAACCAACTACAAAATGATTAATGGCATTCTGCATAGAACTAATTTATCCAGCTGTCCAACTCCTCTGCCTTATCTTCCACAAACAATGATCCAAGCTGTCCTGTTTGCCAACCATGATCATCCATTGAGTGGACATTTTGGTACTGAAAGAACGTATAACAAACTGAAGGACAAATATTATTGGCCAAAAATGTTTGAGACAATCCAAAATTATGTTCAATCTTGTCCTGAATGTTCCCAATATAACATCCAACGAAGAAAACCTCCAGGGCATTTGAAACCAATCCGGCCTCCAAACGAACTGTTTCAAGTGTTGGGCATGGACTGGTGGGGACCAACGCAACAGGAATCATCTGACGGCAACAGATAAGTTTTAGTCATAACAGACTTACTATCCAAATACGTCATCGCTAAAGCGCTTCCTGCTAACAATGCCCTTACCACAGCAACAATGTTCATGGAAGAATTCATTCTGAATCATGGTGCTCCCGAATGTCTGATAACCGACCAAGGATCACATTTCAACAATGAATTAATGCAGGCGATTACCAAAATGATTGACACTAAACATGTCTTCTCAACGGCATACCATCCCCAGACCAACGGCCAAGTGGAAAGGTTCAACGCCACCTTTTGCCAGCAACTCTCTAAATACTGCCATCACAATAGTGAAGACTGGGACCACTATTTAAAGTATGTCGTCTACGCGTACAACAACACCAAACATTCGTCGACCAAATTCACTTCGTATGAACTAGCATTTAATCGTCAATCCAGATTTCCATTTGATCCTCCAAAAACCGCGTTTAAATTCACAAAACCAAATGATTATTGGACCCAAGTTAACATGTATAAAAAAGTGGTCCACAGCATAGTTCAGGCAAATATCAAACAGCAACAGCACCTTGCAAAAAAAGGTACGATAAAAATCGATCCAACCCATCCTATACCATTGGTGATTTGGTTTGGATAAAGGTGCTGGGGAGCGGAAGATCATCCAAGTTCGATCCAAGACACATTGGACCTTTTGTCATCCTGAAACAGTTGAATCACCTCAATTACCAGGTGGAACAGCAACAAGATGATTATCAACAGATCGTGCATCTCAACAACATGATTCCTGTATACGCACGAAATATCTAGTCAACATCATTAAAACAATCACATGTTAGCTGGCTCTCTACCAATGGTGATGGATATTCAACTTCCATTTTGGAACTCCATATTGATCCTGCTTAGCATGACAAGCCTGATAGCATGCGGTTAACACACACAATATCTAACCGCTTAAAAGCAATATACTTTCGTTGATAACACCTGTTTGCGTATATCTTTGTTGTTTTATCGCGCGCTTATTTTCATTTTTTCTCTGATGCGCTACGCACATCTTTTTTGCAGGGGAGAGGTGTTACATGCTTCGCTGTCCTCAGACATCATGTAAGACTGCAGCTGTTATTGCATAATCAATTGTTATTGTGTAATCAGTTGTTATTGGGTAATCAGTTGATATTGCATAATCAGTTGTTATTTGTTATTGCATAATAGTTACGCCATATCTACACTATATAAGCTCTCGATTCCGTGGGAGTTAACAATTCATTTTCCGAAATAAACTACTACGAAACACACTTGGACTTAGTTATCAATATAAACCGGGCTATCAACCTGAATGAATTTTTCCAAATCCTGCATGCTATTACATATAGTCACTAAATCATCCGCATACATTAGAGTTAGTATTTCGAAATCTTCATATTTCTCGTTGGCGCCATGATGGAAATCATTACTTCCATAGGCCAAATGAATGCCAGACACGCCTGCTTCAATTAGGACCTGCCTAATTAGTCAAATACGATGTTAAACAGAACAGGAGATGGTATTCATCCGTGCACCACTCCATTATCTATAAGAAAGCTCTCAGAGAACTCTCCGTTGATTCTAAGTTTGGCTCTTGAATTTTGGTATAACAATTTCAAGAGTCTAACGATCTTATCTGTTAAACCATAATGCTTACACAGTTTACATAGGCGCTCTCTGTTCACACTGTGGTAGGCTTTCTTAATATCCACGAAACAGAGAAATAGGGGTTTGTTGTATTCTATGGATTTTTGTCCATCACTGTTTTCACGATGAAAACTTGGTCCATGGTTGATCTATTAGGTCTAAAACCAGATTGTTGTTCTAGAAGTTGACGATCGATGAGGCCGGAAATGCGATTGAGTATAACGCGAGAGAAGAGCTTACTCGCCACTACGAGCGAAGATATTCCACGATAATTATCGCAGATTTTCTTGTCTCCCTTGTTCTTGAAGAGACGAATAAGAATTGCAGATGTCCAGTCTTCTACGATTTCCTCGTGTTCCCAAATATCCAAAAAGATGTCGTGAAGCCAGCTCAATAAAGACAGTCCTCCTGCTTTCAAAATGTCAGCAGATACATCGTCATTTCCAGGAGCTTTACGATTTTTCATTTGCCTCAAGGCTATTTTCAATTCTTCTAATGACGGTGTTCTGTCTTGACACAACTCTTCTGTTGCTGAAATCCCAGGGAGAGAGATTTGATCTATCACGTTCGAATCCACAACAGTCGAATCCACAATATACTACTTGCCGTTCATCGACCTTTGAAAATCGAAGTTGGTTTTTTTATTTATCAACTCCAAATAATTCTGTTAAGTACATACGCTTATTTCGCTCAAACGCGTCTCGACACCGCTCATTCAGGATAAAACGAGTAAATATATAAACATAAAAAACAGCCAGTTTCAAAACTAACTACGTTTTACTGTCTTTAACTCTGCAATAAAATAGCAGAACATTCCAATAACAAAGCTAAATAAGTATAAATATAGTTCGTCACTTAAAAGAACCATGTTAAAATAAACGATAGTTGAATATATAGTGTAATACTTGAATGTAAAGCATTACTAACACCGTTTTTGTTGTCTTGTTGAACTAGATTAGCAAATTCTCTCCAATTATCAATGTTTGTATGGAACTCCATATGTATCTGACTCATTGTTGTATCGTTTGTAACAAGCACATCGAATATACATTGTTCGTATTGTGTGATTTTCTGACAAGATTGTTTGGCCATATCTAATCTTGGAGTATTATTACATTTACCAAACAAATCTTGTTCAAAGATTGGTCGATATTGGTAATCTTGATGTTTATCGAAATTCTTATCATCATAATAAACAGACATTAGTTTAGGATGTCCTTATTTAAAAAGAAAATTTCCTACGTGAGATGTAGTACGACATTTGTATTATGGGCACGAATATTAAACTCTACAATCAACGTATCAAACGGATAAAATGGTATACACTGTAAGGATCATCAAGGGCGCAGATTATCTACGCATGGCTCATGAACACCCTCACCGTTTTTTCTTTTTCTTCTTAAATGTGCTCAAATAACCTTCGGGAAACACATACATTGGTACAGCCGATCTATCTCATTACTTATTGGTGCTTTCAATCGAATAGCCGAAGATTCTTCCACCAGCAACCCATTGAGTCTATTGTGACCAACGTGACAGCGTTATCAATAAAGTAGTTTAGTCAATTTTGAACGTATAGAAGGTATTGAGAGTTCTTCTCCTCACTCTCGCTTCCTCGTAAGATCTTGTGATGGTGATTTTGCCGAGGAAAAATACATCATTTGTGTTTCTCCTGATATCGCACAGGACTTTACAAATAGAAAATTCTGAGCTGTTTTAGAAGAAACTAGTAGTAGTTCTTTTTTTCTCGCGTGTTTTAGAAGAATCTCGCAAAATTTTCTTGATGGGATGGAGACTGCCCGTTTAATTAGAACTGTTAGACCGCGGACGAACGACCAAGAATCAACATCGCGTTTGACTGCCATTTCAAAGTGAGTACTCTGGAATATCTATCATTATCAATTACAGCCCGTTTAGTATGAAAATGATGAAATTGACAATTATATCGTGTTCTTAACAGACACAATTTACTGTCTTTCAAAATCAAAATTTCGACGCTTGTCAATGAATGATTATGTTTCTAATAGCACTATTCTCATTCAGAAACTGAAGTTACCGGAGTTAGGTGCAAGAAGAAAACTTTTGAGACTAATCTTGTTTCACAAAACCATTACTAAACGAAGCGCACTATCACGCTTTTCCTTAGTTAGTCCACTTACCACCAGAACATCTCAGCGAACTTCTAATTGATGTCTTTGGCAACTTCCATTATTTAAACGTAAAACCACTAACTCATCTTTCCTACCAAAAACTATAAAAGAATGGAATCGGTTACCTAGAGAGATAATAGCTGCTTTTAGTTCTCGAGCTTTTAAATGTGCATTGACGAAACATCTTCTCTCTTGAAAGCAGTATATATTAAGTCATATCGTTTCTTCTTATTTAAACTTTTTCCTTTTTTCTGACTTGACTTACCTTTGACTTGAAGAGCATCCATCTAATGCTGCGGGGGAAAAAGTTCTTTGATCCACTTAACAGAATTGGTTATACGGAGAGCCGACAAGAATAAGTGGTGACAAACAAACACACTACTCGATTTACTTTTTATTAGTACAACTAATTTAGTTCATACAATTGAAGTTGAAGATTGTTGTATGACCATAAGATTGACCAAAATTTGAAAACAAATGATCTTATATGAATTTCATACAACTATTACATAACTTTTATTCCAAGTACATAAGAAAATGAAATTTCAAAACAAATGATAACTAACAAAAAATTAAGTTCGTGGTTTTATCGAATCCAAGCGTTACTGTAATCCAGTGTCAGTAACATAGGTAATTGTTACTTATGGACGTCTTGCCACTGTTGGATGATTACTTGAACAGAATGTCCTTCGCCGATAACGTACTTCTGACGGTAACTGTAATTTAAAACCATAATTTTTCCGCAATGTCTTTATATCGTTGACTAAATGTGTTATATCCAAGGTAACATTGTAATTCCATTCTTGTGTTGAAGCCGGTATCAAAACTTGATTTGTTGTTGTTGTCGACGGCTGAGTTGCCCATGTAACACTTGTTGTCCAACTGGCTAATACCCGACGTATGTAAACTTCGTTTGTTATACCTGTTGTACCATAAGCCCAATTACCACCGTCTCCTGTTTCATTAACTGATGGGCCATACAATTTAAGTGAAACAGATTTCAGTTGTCGATTCGTGGTTAATACAGCATCCAGTTCACTGAAACTAATTAATGAACGTCGAGATTGTGCTCCACATGCGGCGTCATAATCGGCAGATATATTTAAAAATAAAGACTGGGAATTGGCTACCGTTGACAGTTTGCATGCTGGTTTCACATTCTCAACTTGAGATAAACCTATCACGGCATCGACGTTACGAATAGGTGGCGCTGTTGTTGAAGTAGTTTTCGATGTAGTGGAGGACGTTGTGGAAGTTGTTGAAGTAGTTGGATTTATGATCTCTTCAACTTGTTGTTCTGATAATGTCATTGTCTCATTAGCGTCATCTAGTGCTTGTTCAAGTTTAGTGGAAAGACTTTCACTTAGATTACTAAATGTTGATGAATCAGCTGTTATTGCTTGAATAACCAGAATGGCAATATTCGATTTTGCAAACTAAATAGGGAAGTCTAATCAGTCAGAAAGTGATTAATTTCTGAAACACTTTCTCTGTGCTAACAAGTTTTAAAGGCAGTATCACAGACAGAACTGGCTCTAGGAATGATACCGGTACCGTTATAAAAAGTTGGTCACCGTTATATCCGCAATTCTGCAAGTCGAAATGAATATAGCTGGATTTAGATAGGTTAACGAATTTCATTTTATTCGAACTCGATTTCTGGCGCTGTCTCGAGTTATCATCGTAAAAAGCAGATTTATTTCTGAACCTGCTAATATACTTTTTATCCTCCTAGAAATCAGAGAGAATAATAAGGCGAACTGGCTTTGATATCAGATAAAGAGCCTCATGTTCATCTGGAGGGTGACTTTTTTATAAAAGTATCAGGTTTTTAGTGAAGCCACAATATACCACTTATGCTCGACTTTGATTGACTTCAAGGTTCGGGTTCTCTCAAGGGTAAATTGCACGTCTTCAATAGTCGATCGCCTGAAGGTAGTTTACTATTATCCGATGTTAGGATGAGAAGTTTATAATATAACATCCGAATTTTCTGGTGGACTTATTGTATAACAAGAACTATGAATTTAAAAGAAGATTGTCAGCTTGATCACAAATGCGAAACTCATTTAATACAAATATTACAAAGAAGGAATGATCTTACACACCTTTAAGAGGATCTCTCTCTAAGAATGAGTTTTTTTGGAGAGAGATTGGAAGGGAACTGCAAACGGTTCTAGTGTTCTATTAAACAATTTTTTGAATTGAAAACCTTTTGTCCAGAATATATTCCTAAATGCCTTTGTTCTGTGCGGTTCAGCTTCTGTCAGGCTTTCTAAACTGCAGTGCAAAATTAAGCTGTAGTTACACTTTTTTGTGTTACGTACAAGTTGAAATAGTTCGGTCGATAAGAAAGGCGAATAAAGTCTCCACTGATACTTTGAACCTTCTCGGAAGAATTGTAAAAATCCCCTAATTCCAGAAATCAAATTATTTTTGAAACTCTTAAAATTGATCTAACCATTAGCGAAAAACATCAGAATCAACGTATAGCTCACTTGTGCACTACCGGTCGCGGTAACATCAACTGTACATGCACTCTTTGCATTAGCAATGTTTTTGTCAGTCAAATTTGATCCCAGAGGTGTATTAACAAAATTATCAATGTATACATTGCATATCTGTTCTGCTTTTTGACTAGTACGAGCTGTTGAGGGTGTTGTCGATGGATCATCTAGGACTGATCGCCGGCGTCGTTGATTGTCATCATTGTCTTTGTTTGTTAAATGTACACCTGTAACAGGATTGCACGAACGTTTGCACAAACCATCCGACATTTTAATAAGGCAAAGTGACTGCCAAATGTAAAAGCTAATGTAATGATCGATTTGTTCATCATAATGCCAGGGCTGAGTCGATTTAGATAAAACAATATTAAACGACCGCATCTAATAAAAAGATTTTAGATACTTACGATTTGATATAATAGGATATTAAATGGTATTTTATGATTAGAAATTGAAACATAACCACCATTTTGATCGAATATAATATCTGTAAGAGAAACGGAGCAAATCAAATCCAACGTAGAGTTCACAGTAAGAGCAGTAGGACTTTCCAAACCTCCTAAGGCTGCATAAGAGTATAAAAAGAGCGCTAAATCGAACCTGTTGCTCAAACCATATCATAGAAATCCACACTAAAGTATGATGATATTCTTGCACTTTCAATCCCTAACGAGGGAACCTCCCGAGGTGTCCATCTCGGATTTTTTTCATTCATATGCCAATCGATAGGTCACATAGAGATATGAAAAAGCCTCAAAGGATATCGGCGCAATTTGCTTCCTTCTAGAGTTATTCAAGTTTTTCTTTTCTTTCCAGCCAAAAAGTCAATACATTGACAAATTCATAACTCTGTCAGTTCTTAAATTTTTCTCTTGAAACTTTTACACAAAATACCTCTTCTAGTCTACTATCTATGCTGTACGTTGGTGTCAGCTCATTTTAATCATGTACCTAAATCTCCCAACTTTCTTAACATTTACAACAATCTTAATGTAAACTTATAAAGAATAGAAACAAGTCCAAACTAGTGGCAGTGATCAGCAGTAAAGAAAAAGCACGAAGAGAAGAAAGGGTCTTTTCCTTTTGCGTTCCCTCTCTTATTCGATACACACTTACAAAAGTCAAAAGAAACGAGAAAGATGATCAATCCGTCGCTTTTGACTCAAAACGTTTTACGGCCTAAAGAAGAAACCTGTTTACTCAAATATTGAGAGATTTCCCTTGAGAAATGAACAATTCTATATCTGTGAAAGGGAACACACTTGAAGGCTGAAACGTACAGCATAGATAGTAGACTAGAAGAGGTATTTTGTGTAAAAGTTTCAAGAGAAAAATTTAAGAACTGACAGAGTTATGAATTTGTCAATGTATTGACTTTTTGGCTGGAAAGAAAAGAAAAACTTGAATAACTCTAGAAGGAAGCAAATTGCGCCGATATCCTTTGAGGCTTTTTCATATGTCTATGTGACCTATCGATAGGCATATGAATGAAAAAAATCCGAGATGGACACCTCGGGAGGTTCTCTCGTTAGAGCCTGGGGACGAAGAGCGAAAGAACTCAACCGTTCAGCGTCAGTAACTACTAGCTTAATTCGAGGTACCTTGCACAACAAAGAAGAAAGCTGTTTCAACAAACAGTTCTTTGTCTTGAATCATCACAACAAAATTCTCATGATTTAACTCGTTCATTATCATCAATCAAAACACCAACAAATCATTCAGCAGAAGTCACTAATAATACAAATTTAATATACACAAATACATGATTCATCAAGGATTATGAATCTGTATTGTTAAAAGTCATTAAGGAAAAGTTATACAATTATTATAGCAGCAAATTCTCAAACGCGATATTTTGACAAAAAATGTTTACAAGTTGTTTTTCGTTTGAAACAGTGTGAGTGACAGAACGACGAAATAATGTTTAATCGCTGCTTTAAACTCATTTTTTAATTGCTTGATTAATATGTAAAATGGAATTCTATTATTTCGTTGTTTATGCATGCAGGGACACTAATTGAAGCGAAAACCAAAATATTGTAGAATATGTGGTACTTTGATATACACGTCAAATTTGCTCATTCAACCATAAAATTTATTCAATTAATAAGTACATTTTGTTTTGTTTATGAATAGAGAACAGGAAAAACATCATTTATATCGAATGTACGTCACCACTTGTACTGACAATGTTGTACTTTTTTTGTTTTTGGTCGACGTAATATGCTTGTAAATATTCGTGGTGTTGAAATTTGATCGCAAAATCAGAATATCTGAAACAGAATGAGAGCAACTTTCAGTTCATTATTGAACTGAAAGTTGAAGTGGCCATGTTAGAATATAGTCATGGAATCCATTTGATGACTTTTAGTGCGAGCAGTTCATGGTGTGGAAAGCAAACATTTTCCATATGGAAAGTTATACAAACTACAGTCGTTTTTTTCAGAATAAAATGTCATAGTTTTTCGATTAGCCTTTTAGTATAGATCTGAGGTTGTCTTCAATGCGTACGTAACTAATGCATGGATGAAAACATTTTCGTAAAGAGATCTTTTTCGAAATCGAGTTGTGAAACATTTTGGAAGAATCTCCAGAGATTTCTTAAATTTAAAATATTCTTAGGTTTCTTTCACCATGCGGGTAGCTAGCCCACAATGTCAAATCATGGATAAAACTGGCATTGTTATGTCTAGGCTTCCGATATAGAAAAGGTAGAAGTGTGAATATCTCAACTTCTTAGAAAAAGAAGAAAACTGATCATTTTTTTATCACCATCGTTAAAACAATCGTTAAAAGTTGATGCCCTGCCAATACCCCTGATCTTCAACTCAGCTGATTTTTCTGACAAGTCCTTCATATCAAGATGGTGTTGTCTTAACTATCCTCGGTATGAAAAAGATAGCAGAAATGGTTTGACGGTGAAGGATCGTAGAACAGCCAATATCGATGATAATGTATATCGTGAGAGCCACAGACGATCCGTAGTATATCAACTACTGCACCAGCTTTCGAGCGTACAAATATTTCTGAATTGTTATTTCAAGGCTTTCAATATAGAAAAGGTAGAATTGTGAATATTGCAACTTCGTAGAAATGTGAAAATCAAAAGAATGATCATTGTTTTATCACCATCGTTAAAACAATCCTTAAACGTTGGCGCCCTGCCAATACCCCTGATCCTCAACTGTAAGACGACAAATTTTCAATCGGTCACAGAATTTAGGCATTTTTTCTGCTCGCGAGGGAACATATTTGAGTGATCCCTCTAGAAAAGAGATGAGACCTAGCCTATCTTGTAGAGAATTTTACGCTGATCACGAATATATCTTAGCTGCCCTCGTTTTGGTTTCGATGCTAGAGAGAACATGATTTATTTTGCCTAACGAGTAAGCGTTCAGCTAAAAATCTCTGCAAATAATAACTTAAAAGACTTTTTAGTCGGCGTTGTAGCCGTACACTCGATGTTCTGATTACTGAAGATGAATGAGAATTGTCATTACTGTTGCTGTTGATCGACATCCCATGATGAAGTTTTGAAAAGTAGTTTTCTGGACCGACATGAATATAGATGCGAAAGAAAAGATTCAGTTCTGTTATTAGAGAAGTTGGACAAGTGCAGCGCTGTTACATCTCTCATGCTCTGCCGGTCTAATAGGTTGTCAGCCCACAGCCCATATCGACTAGATTATTGCAACGTATCGTGATCGCTTCTCTGTGTCTTGTCTATTTCTACGAAAACGAACGAAAAATATTTTAACTTTCTTGAGGAAATCAGCTGTGGTTTGTATGATGTTTTAGAATAAATGGCTATATAATGAAGAACACTGATTCCATGTATATTTGCTCAAGAAAGTGATCACTATGAAATTTTAACTCTAACTTGTTCTTCAGTTCACATTTGCAATCAGCGCGAAAAACTGCGTCTAACTATGCAACAGTTTGGAACGCATTGACACTTTGTATTTAATATGCCATACACTTCATACAATGTATTTTCGAAAACAGCTAAATATATCAGCTTTTAAGCGGTGCATGCTTAATTTCTCATCTGTCAAGTAAACATTTTTTGTATGAAGAAAACAGATGATGTCACAAAGTAGAAACAGAAAAGTATTTCTCTTTCTGGCGGTGATTTAAACAACGCGAAGTATATATTTACATACGTACACAGGTACATAAACGTAATACTGGCATATTTTAAGCAGCTTTATTTAAAACTACTCTCTACTGACAGAACTGACTCGTTTCTTTTGCATTCAAATTCATGTCGGTCTTATTCTTCTTATCAACCATTTTTCTAATTCTCTCGAATGGTTATGCGTCGTCATATCCACTTTATGCACGCGCCAATGTTCGTCTGGATAACAGTGCATCAGTAATTGGTACACTCTATTTCATCCAAGCAACTCGAACAAGTCTCGTCATTATTCGCGGAACATTAGCCGGTTTGGTGCCGAATCAAACATATCATGGGTTTCATGTTCACACATCTAAAGTCAGCGAAACTAGGCCAAACTGTACAGCAGCCGGTGCTCATTTTAATCCCTACAATCGAACACATGGTGCACCCATTTCACCAATCACACAGCGACACGTCGGAGATCTAGGTACGAATAATGGTGCTCTTGCACTTCTGTAGTCATGAATTCTTGATCTTTAGGAAATATCTATGCCGATCAGTATGGTAGTGCCCAGATTTTGATCATTGATAAAATCATTAAGTTGACCGGCGCGAGCCAGTCGATTATTGAACGTACAATTATTGTTCATAGAGATGTGGATGATTATGGCCTGGGTGGACAAAGTGATTCACTGACAACAGGACACGCTGGTGCACGTATCGCATGTGGTCTAATACAGTCGACATCGATGACAGAGAAAGAAGCATTTTTAAAGTTTTTGTCTTAAACATGGAGTGTGCCACTTTTTCTCATTTTCTCACAAATAAATTAACGTTTTATCCATGCCTCATAAAAAAGTGAATACTGCATTTTTTCTTGCCATAATGATGGTTAGTATTCATCGAATCACTTATTGATTTCTTACTTCTCCGAAAAAAAATCATTTTTAATCGTTCAAAAAGCTTGAATAATAGATTAATTAAAAGGAAATGGTTAATTCTACATATACAGTTAGGGCTCGTTCTACTTTTTCTAACATGGATGGTATGTCACAGTAGAAATGTGACTACATTTATATGAGGAAATCGTAACTTTTTTGTACAATTGTAATTTTACGATATTTTTTCAATAACTTCTGTCATTGCCCACCGGTTTCGAAAATTTTTTTTTTATTTTACTCGCTGATGACGGTTCCACTACCACAAAAAAATTCGTTGCGAAATCTGGTGAATCCGCAAAGTTGTACCCATTCAAAGTCGAAAAATCCCATTTTCCGGATTATTCACCATTATACAAATAGATTTTCCAAAGACAGGGGAGAAAGGAAAAAAA